ATATGGTCATAGGAAATGGCGGGAAAATACATTAATGCAATCAATCGATTACTGGTTTTACTTTCGGAATCAGAAGAACAAAAAGCTAAGAGACTATAAATCATCCATAAAATTATCAGTATACAAGACACTGGAATACAGRTCCTTAGTTTTTATTCATAAGCCAAGGAATAAGAGTTTTAATCCGTGGAGTGAAAGAGTTTTCAAATGAGTTCAAGAGGAAAGCGCAAAGCGACTAGTCAGGCTAAGTCCAAAGGAGAAGCAGATTCCAAGAGACCCAAGTCGGCTGCTTCTATGAAGCCACGGCGTCCTAAAGGCATGGTAGAAGTACCTTCTGGGACGGTACTCACAGACCTCACCAAGAAAAAATGGAAGCTTGGAAAATTGATTGGATGGGGAGGATTTGGTGCACTGTATTTAGGTAAGACTTACCAAATTCACTTGGTTCTAAGTATAATTTAAATATTGATTTAATAAAATTTGATATTTCAGCAAGTCCAGATTGTGGTGAACCAGTAGGCGAGGATGCTGAGAATGTCATTAAGATTGTAAGTGACTCAAGGGCCATACTTGCATGCTTTGCCATCTTATGGAAGTCCTGTGGTGGAAGAAGGAGAAATGAGACAAGCAGAAAGAGAGATTGAGAGGGAAGAAAGAGAGATGGGGAGTGCATGAGTTCCCTTACTCTCTTCCTTATCTCCCTCCCTCTCGCTCCCTTCTTTTATGTCTTCTCAGGTCATATGCTCTTCTCTTGTATAATTACACAGGAACCCCAAAATTAGAGGTTGCCTGGAAAGTCATCTACTATTACTACTACTAATAATAAAAGAGTATTTATATAGCGCATCCTGAGCCTCGATGTGCTTCACAGTAAGACAATATTAAAATATAATTATATGTATTATATCTTTAAAATTTAAAGATATAATATATATAATACATTTGCTATAAAAGATTGTCGTTTTTTATCACTGATTAACACTAGGAGCCTCATGCAAATGGCCCACTCTTTACTGAACTGGCATTTTATCAAAGAGTAGCAAAGCCTGACAACAGTGAGTATTTTGGTATTTAGTTTGTGATGCTTTAAAGTCACAGGACGATCAGCTATTGGAGGAATTTATCCATCCATGCATCCATCCATCCAACCATCATTCTTTTTTACTTTATTCATTTATTTCCCACTTATCTATTTTCTTAGAATGTTTTGTTTTAATTTCTTTGCAGTCAGTAGTTGGATGAAGACGAAAAAACTAAAGCATCTTGGCGTTCCTTTGTACCTTGGTTCAGGTGCGGTGGAACATGACAATGCCAAGATGAGGTTTTTAGTAATGGAGAGGTATGACCAGGATGTTGATCAAATATTTCAGCATCACAACCGTCGGTTTGACGTCAAGACTGTCTTGATGCTGGGGTTAAGAATTGTAAGTGATCTTTTTCAACCCTAAGAATATATAAAACTTTTGTTCTTACCCAAATCTGTTTGTGGATTTCCTGCAAACTATGATTTCACATAAAGAGAAGCAAAGAGTTGGTGAAGGGATGCACCAAGCAATGTTTTCTACCTAGCTCCACTGTCACTGTTACTATGTCAGACAAGCTAAATACTTTCTTTTGATATGCAGTATGGAACAAACACAAATTGCTAAAAATCGTAAATGTCTGTTTGAATTGGTGCATTCTAAAGGTACATTTTTCTTTGTAAGCTTGATATTCTAGAATATATCCATGAAAATGAATATGCACATGCAGACATCAAAGGGTCCAATCTGATGATGGGATACTCCAAGGGCAAGAAGGATCAGGTGAATAGCTAGTGCCTTTCTTAAATGTCATTCTTTCAGTACATTGTGCTGGCAAGGGAGCATGAGGGCAGTGGTTGCCCTTTTCTGGGTGTTTATGAGATACTAGTGATCGATTCAGCTGATTGAAAGCAACCTTTAGAAAACTATTTGGATGCTTGAATGTGAGAGACAGCATTTGACGTCATAGATTTGCTGATAATGAGATTCATTCAACTGATCGATACCCCGTCATTTAATGATTAAATGTTTTAGGTCTATTTGCTTGATTATGGGCTGACATTCAGGTTCAATCCAAATGGAGAGCACAAGGAGTACAAAGAAGATCCAAAGAGAAAACATGACGGCACAGTGGAATTTGCCAGCATAGATGCACATAAAGGAGTTGGTTGGTCCTCTTTTAAAGTCACTAAGATTTTTATAAACGCTGGTGGAATAGAGAAATATATATATAAAAACAATGAATGAATAAAAGAAAACAGAAAAAAGAGAATGAGGATAAAGAAGAAGTAAAGCAATAAGAAATGAATGGAAAAAAAAGAAGGAAAGGAATGAAGAAGAAAGAATGGATGAATGAAAGGATGGATGAATGAAAGGATGGATGAGTGAATGAATGAAAATGAATTAATGAAGATTTGTAACCATTTTTAGTTAAACTATTTCCATTTCTTGTGTATTTTTGCAAACTAATTTTTTTTGTAAACATTTTTTTCCTAGCTCCATCAAGAAGATCAGATTTAGAAATTCTTGGTTATGTTATGTTACAATGGTTGTGTGGAAGACTACCCTGGGAAGATAAGCTATCTGACAAGGAGTATGTCAAGAACCAGAAGATAAGGTGAATCATCATGCTGGTCATTGAATATGCTGCTGCTGCTGTTGCTGCTGTTGGTATTGTTGTTGTCGCTACTGTTGTTGCTGCTGCTGCCTGTTAATGCTGTTGTTGCTGCTGCTGTTGTTGCTGCTTCTGTTGTTGTTGCTGCTATTGCTGTTGTTGTTGCTGTTGCTGTTGCTACTAATGCTTCTTATGCTCTTGCTGCTGCTTTTCCTTGGATTTATCCATTTGTCACATCATTCATGCATCATTTTCACTTGTCTCCAGGTACATGGATAACATACCTCAGCTTATCAAAGTATGTCTTCCTTCTGGAGAAAGCTCAGGTAAAGCCTCATGTAACACATACCCCTTTCGAAATTATGTAGGCTAAAATAGGTGCACTTTTCTAGAAGGAATTTGTGCCATTTTGTTAGCATTTTCCTGTTACAATTATTATTATCTATTTTCTACCTTTACTATTAGTCCATATAATTACAGTGAATTTTTTAGCACACGAAACAAAGTTGTAAACAATCTAAATAAAACAAAAGAAAGCAATGGAATTATAGCCTGAGTGCAAGGGGGGATTCTCTCATATTATTTGATCTTCCTTATTGATTATATTTTAGGTTGTATTCATAAAATTGTGCATATTCTTTTCCACAGGCCAAATAAAATCACTCTAATATATTAAATGACTTTTTTTCCTACAGAGGTCCAACAGTTCCTAGAATATGTCAAGAATCTTGAATACGACCAAAGACCAGACTATGGCAAAATTCGGCAGATTTTTCAAAACGGGTTAAAGAAACGAAAAGCTAGTGATGATGGAAGGAGTGTTATATTTACCCAATCTGCTGGAACTACAGCCAATGGAACCCATGAAATGAAGGATGCTTCGAAAAAGGTATGTGGAACAACTTGGTGTTTGTGAGATTGTGGGAGTCAGGGGTGGTGTAGTGTAGTGCACTCCCCTCTCACCTCTGGGGTCTCTGGTTTGATTTCCAGACTCAGCGCCACATGTGAGAAGGGCTCTTTAGGTCTGTCCCTTGATCTGAGGCTTTATCTCTTGGTTCTCCATTTTCATCCCTCAGCAAAACCCAACAAGCTTAATTCCATTTTCATCTGTAAGCTAGCCGTGCCCTGACTTTGATCAGCCCAGAGGTTGTTTTAGGGTTTGATTTGTGAGTTAGCTGTTCCCTGACTTAGATCACCCCAGAGGTTGTTTCAGGGTTCAATGAGAATTTGAAGGTTATGAGTGAGAAAAGTTATGATAAATGAATTTCATTTGCTGTATCTTATAGCAAGGTGTATATACCGTACCATGTACATGGAGAGGTTAATAAGGAATTTTAAAATTTATATAGAAAACTGCAACCAAGAAACAAAAAGTCGTAAAAGCATCAGACATATCAGACGATGAAGAACCAATCCCGGCCAAAAAACCTCGATCGCGCGCATTGCCAAAATCCACCAAGAAAAGCAAAGACACCGAAACGATTCTCTCCAGTTCTGATGAAGAAGAACGGACCGCTCTAGCAAAGCGAAGTTCTCCAAAGAAAACAAAAGCAAAATCTTCTCCAAGATCGCCCAGGAAAGTTACTAGCGCACCTGCTGTTGTTTCTCGTGTAAAACCAACAAAAGAAGAAGATAAACCGGTCCGAAAACTTCGTGGAAGACCAAAGAAAACGCCAACATATGTAGATATGGCGACGTCGCCAATCGTTTTCAAAGACTAGTAAGAACTTGCTCCTTAGAGTAATTAGTATTTTAGGATGAACGTTGAGATTTGGAAAAAAGACGGGTGTTAGTGACTATAATTCCCACTATATGATGTGGTTGAGTGAGAAAAGCCATTTAAGTGAAACTGAGTGTTGACATTCCCATTTAAAGCCACTTAAGTGTAACTAAGGGTTGACATTCCCATGGAAAGCCATTTAGGTGTAACTAAGGGTTGACATTCCCATGGAAAGCCATTTAGGTGTAACTGAGGGGAGGACATTCCAACGGAAAGCTATTTACCAAATGAAAATAAACACCGATTAGGAAGCCATTAAATTGTCGCGCTTAAGGCATGATTTACAGAAATCATCGCTCATTTCCTCTTTATTCGAGCAGAAAGTGATACACTAATAGACTCCTTGCGTTTTAGGGGAAAAAAATATTCAAAACCGCAGGAATTGAGGATTCACTAAGACAGGGATACCAAAAAACTATTTTTTGTAACATTTCATCTTAAATGTATATCCATTGTATTATCAGAGTATTTATTTGATAACATCTTTTCATTTTCACAAGACAAGAATGCTTTCAACTGATTTGAGTTTAATAAAAAGTTTCAAAGGTTTTTTAACGTACGGATGGTGTGGTGTTGGTTTCGGTGGGTCAAACAAACTTTAACACCCCATTTGACGGGTAAAGACTATCGAGAGACGTTTTCAATGGGTCAGCAATGGGTCTTACGAGTGCTGCTTTAGCAATCGTGTCGAGTTATCATCAAAGCTTCTTTGAGGGTCCGGAGTTGGCGAAACGTTTACTGAGCTGAGAAATTTGCTTTTGAGACAGGTTTCGTCTGCACGAGTAGATCTACTTTTCCCAAACGTTTTTTGCCAAGAAAGACTGATTCAACATGCCTCTCCATTGTCAACTACCACAGCTAACTGTTATCAATCGATATCAAACCTAATATTAGCTTGGCTTTTGTTTGTTCTGTCTCTCAACTGTTCCTTCAATCGTTACAGGATGGGTTTCTTGGACGTCCACGCATTCAAATGATCGGCAAATTCGAATCTGAGACA